AAAATAACACTTTATAAACAAATTTTGGAATTGCATAAAAATTAATAATTTCATTACAAATTTTTGAATCAATACAACATTAAAATGTGATGCAACACAACCTATCTAAAAAGGAGTAAGGATAAAAGAGTTCTCGTTGCATCCTCTATAAAATGGTAATGGAAAAACTTGATCATAAACGGGGAACATAGAAGATACTCTCTTTCTTCTTTCCATATGCCTTCACGGCTGCAGCACGTTTTTCAGCAGCTTTCTTCTCTTCCTCAGTCTCCTCAACAAACAATTATGCTGAATATCACAAATCAATGTCTATTCAAAAGACATTTGGAACTAAATTATTACATATCAATCTGTAAAATTCATTTAGCAAGAATGAAAACTTAGTAAAATAACAAATTGAAAACTTTCCCAACTTAGAATTTACAACTACTACAAGAAAATAAATTCATATCTAATTCCTAGTTTCTACATTAAATTAAAATAAGTATGCATTTTTGGTATGTATCATACATCAGGAAGTTAATTTTCCTCACTAGGAATGTGACTATGACTTTGATTTTAGCATTGAGTCTATGCCATCAGATGGTACAGATAAATCATTCCCAACTACTCAAGTGAAAGTCAATTAGACAAAAGTTCCATACTCAGGGTGAAATGTAGGTTGTAAATTCATCCAAAGTAGCTCACACTTAATCTGATCATATCATCATACAGGTTCAAATAACTAACTAGAAGTTGGCCTCGCCCACCAAAGATTAACAGTACTGCAGAAATGGTAATAACCAATTTGAGAGAAGAAACAAAGGGAGCCTTAGCATTAATACTACACCAATAACAATTACTTGAGGGCAATAAAATGTAGGTGGAGATGTCATTTTCCCCTAAATCAATAACTAAAAACAACGGAGCTTTCAGAATCAGATTGGAGAAAAAGGAGAAAGATATAAGAGAGACAAAAGACGACGTTTTCCATTATTTTCCTAAATTTTCTAGTTGTATCCCTCAAACAGGTTTTTAAATTATTTCTTCAATTCATAAATCGAATAACATAATTACTTGAAAGTAGATTTTTTCGCAGCTACCTGATAAAAATAAAAACAATCAGTCGGTTGCAACGCAAACCCGAACATTCTCATCGCGATCCCCACTTCTATAATGGAGTTCTCTCAAATCAATTTTCTATAAGTATGTGCGTGTAAATCTTGTATATAACTAGATAAAATCAAAATCAATGGCTACTTACTCGAGAGATTAATAAGAATCCATATATACATTAGAAAAAAGGCGCTCCTGCATGACAACTTAAACCAAACCAAACTAAACTTAATTAATCATAGAAACTAAACATACCTAAAAACGAAATGTATATAACACAAGAACCAATTAGCAGAATCAAGAAATCCTAATCCAAAAATTAACACAGATTGCTTTAGCACAAAATAAGAAATATATATTTTTCAAGTCTTAACAAATCTAAACAAAGACGAAAATGGAGAAAGCCCTAAAAAATTCACAAGAAAATAAATAAGAGCCTCAAGAATGCATTATAAGAAGATGACCCAGAACGATTAGTATCAAGAAAAAGAAAAGCGATAAATCATTCAGTACAAAACTCGTAAAACCCTAGAAAATCAACAGACGGAAAAAATAATAAATTTCAAGAAAACCCATTGAAGTTCTCATTGTTCAGTAAAATGGAATAAATAATTTAACCCGAAACGGCTAGAAAATCATTTCGGAAACATAAACAAATCGAAATAAAATCCAATAATAAATTGATAACTTGAATAATTTGAATTAACAGAGTATAGCAAATGAAATCTATACTCGATGACATGAGGGTCTCTTGAGAGCATTCGCAATAAGGAAACCTCACGAAGAGTGGTGGGGGGGCACACCTTCTTCGTCTTCATGGATACGAGTTTTCTTGAGGGCCACAATCTTCGCAGTGGCCTTTTCCTCGTCTCTGTACACTTTAACGTAAGTAGCGGTCTCAACGAGCTGAGCCCGAACTTTTTTGGACCGAGCTTTTTTCGACTCAACCCGAGCAAAGTCGGGCCCGGCCAAAAAAAATGAGGCTGTGCCTGAGCTTTTGGCCCGAGCCTAAGCGGGCCGAGCCTGCTGGGTTTTTTTGATTTTTTTCTTTTTCTTTTCTTAGCTGCCTGCAACAGGCAGCAAGGCAGACACAACTGCAAGGCAGCACAGCTGCCTTGTGCCTGTAGGCAGAAAAGCAAGCTGCCTTCAAATTTATTTATTTTTATTTATTTATTTTTTAAATATTGGCTTGCCCGGGCCACGGGCCGGCCCGGGCTCGAGTCGACTCCCCAAAGTGGGGCTCGGCTTGAGCCTGGGCTCAGTTCCACCAAGCTCGAGTCGGGCCCGGCTCGGGCTTTTTCCGAGCCGAGCCGGAGCAGTCCGAGCTTTTTTGCCACCGCTAGTTTGGAGGGATATTGTTATCGGAGACAACGGCTACTAATTTGTTAAAGGTATCCGATATGAGTGCAAACGAATAAAAGTTGGGGATAGAAGTGCAAAAGGATGTAAAGTTTGGGGATAGAAGCCGCAATTTACCCTTGACATTTCGTAATTAGTTGAAAACATATTTACCGGTGACTGTAATTTGGACAACTTTTTACCCTGAAAGAAAAAACCAGGATAAGAGAAAACCGACTCGTCAAAGTAAAGCTCCAAAATAAAGTCATATATAACTCCTGAAAAACTCAAGACGATAAAACCAAGAAAAGATCTACAAAATTCATGAGTCGAGAAGAACAATGAACGAAGAAAGAATCAAGTGAAGAAATTGATCTTTGAGAGGCAGAACAGAAAAAAAAAAATGTGGAAGATCACAGTGTTTTTGAGCATATTGTGGGCTCTGAGCTTACTTTATGGAGAGTGGTTTGCATTTTTAATGCCTTCTCTTTGGAGCTGTTCTTGGCCTCATCTTCATCGCCAATCTTCTTTGGTAAAAACCCATTAAAAGAAATTGACTTTTTGTCGTTTAATTTTATATTTATTGAATCAAAATCAACTAAAAACAAAGACCTGAACTTCTTAGTTTTGTTTTCATATTGGTTCTGGATCTTCTTCTGTCAAGTGGAAATTGAATTTTCCTTTGCTTCTGATCTACAACGTGTTTGGTTGTGCTTCTAGAAAAGTAAGTTTTGTGTGTAAAAAAAGATACCTTTTTGGGCAAAATATGTAAGTTAAGGGTTAGTTTTGTTTAGATGTTTATTATGGATCTTCTTCTGTTTATAGCACCCTGTTGTTCTGACTTGTATTAACGACTTATTTTGGCTAAATTAGTAAAATTCATTTATTTGGGCTAAATTAGTAAAATTCATTTCTGCTTTGCCCACTAGCTTCTTTTTCTTTCTCAGTCCAATGTTGTTTCCATTGGCATTGCCAAAAATAAAAATTTCCTCATTTGTATACCTTAAACATCTTTTGTTCTGGAAGGAACAGTTCAGATAAATGGTGATGTGGAGAAGAGAAGGGGTGAAATAAAAGCTTTAGATATATATAAAAATGGGGAATCTTCATGATACATGAATGATAGGGGATGATATACACAAGCTGACTTAGTCTAGTGCCTGAACTATACAAATGAAAGTAAGAAGATGGTTTTTCCCAATGGTATTCTTGTGCAGAAAGGATTATTTAAGGGGCCATTTTTAGAGTGATATGGAAGATGTGTCAGATCACCGTTGTAACCCTCTTTTTTCGCCATAGTGAGAATCTGCAACAACGGGCGGACGACTGTAAATAGTTCTCACATTGAGAGTTCGTGTGTTTACTTGTGTATGTTTCTGAGTTCGTTTTGCTTAATATTTCTCTCATGATTGGGATTAGGGTTAATACCTAACATTTACACGTAGTCATTTCAGTCTTAGTAGTGAATCTTGAATAGAAATAAAAATTCCATGTTATTTTGCTAACTCATTTGGACCTTAGAGCCCGTTTGAGCCCTATTTTTTTTTGTCTAAAATGCATTTTGGAATAATATTTTGTTAGAGAATGTACGGTTAAGAAATAAGGAAAAGTTTTGAGTTACGTGTAATATTATTTTATTGAAAAATGTGTGGTTGAAAATAAGAGAGAAAAATATATTTTGGAAATAATGGGTACCAAACAATGGCTTAATTTCCTCAATAAAGATTAAATTTTTTTTATTAGTTAAGATTAAGATAGTTGAATTTTGCACTCACTTAATTCAGGCATTCTTTTTCTTCATAAAATTCAGCATACTTATTAGTTATGTTGCTTTAGTCTGCAAATATGCAAGCTCACCATTTTTATGTCCATAAATCTCAGATGAATGGAGTTGATTATTCAAGTAATTACGTGAAAGTTGCAGTTATTACAGACCCTCAGGTAACTTTTTTTCTGAAGAAATGAAATGTGGTTTTCTTGTTATTATTTTTAGATGATGGGAGTCTAACAAAGTGGTGAAATATGGATTACTTTAACAGCTTATGGATAGAACCTCTCTTCGTCTTCCTCCGAAATCACTTGCGCTAGAGTTAGCTCAATTCTATACAGATGTATACATGCGCAGAGCATTCTTGTCATCCATATTACCCTTCAATCCTGATATCGTTTTGTTTTTAGGCGATTATTTTGATGGGGGGCCCATTCTGTCCAATGAGGAGTAAGTGAAACTCTTGTTTTTATGAAAATTTTTGAGCATACCAAATCACCTCGTCCCAGTCTGTTAAGGATTTTTTATTCCAGGATTGGTACCTCCCTCCCCTCCACCCCCTCTTCAATAAAAAAATAAAAAAAAAATGATGACACGCCCTTTGTGTCAATTTTTTTTAAAAAAAATAAATAAATTTGGAGCATCTGTTTATTTTATTTTTTTCAAGTTTTTCACAGGTTCTTATTTTGTAAACCTCAATATTTGCCATTTTCCTATTTTAAAATAACCTTATCTCTTAGTATCAATCTAAATGTGAGCATGTTTGGCTAAGACTTTGTAAATTTTAATCTATATATTATTTTTATTGGTTGTAGTTGAAGAAAAGTAGGTTACTTACTTGACAGTTATGAAAGAGTTACTTTAGGAAAAAAGCAACTTTTTTAACTTAAAATTTAGTTATCCAAACAAGTTTAGAAACAAAATGTTATTTGAATTTCCACTGTTTTTTATTTTTAAATCTTAAGCATTCGTGAGTGATGCATATCATCATCGAATTTTTGCTCTAGATCCAGTCTGAATTTTTTGCTTTATTAATAAGATGGCAGGAATCTTGGGGCCGTTTTAGACATATTTTTGACCTAAATATGCTTCAGCAAAGTGCAAATGTCAAAGTATATTACCTTGATGGAAATCATGATATTGGCTATGCTGCTTTCAACTCCCGAATGCCTGAGGTGAGTTATAGTGCTATTCCTCAAAAGTATACTTTCCTTTCTCGAAAATTAACTGATCTTTTTGCTAATCCAATTCGAATGTAAAAATGTTCTGCTACCTTATAGATCATAATGTTTGAACGTGTAATTAATATAGTTGAGTGTGAGTTTCTGTAATTCGAAAACAAGGTCATGTATGAGCCCACACTTCAAAGTTATTATTTCCCATATCCAACAATTAGTACTTCATTAAAAAATTCTTGTAAAAATTCTTCAATAAATACTGTTAATGCATTATCTAATACTAGCTGTTGTTGTCCTTCACGTCCGCCTGGCATCCCAAATTTGTGCAGGTTACCAGACGCTATGAGAAAGAATTTGGTGCAAGGAACTATAGGTTTACACTTGGAAGAGTGAATTTCATTGCCGTTGATGCACAAACATTGGATGGTAAGAGAAACTGTCTGTTTATAATGTCATATCTGTCACTATATGGTTTACTGTTTGCTGTCCTAGACGAAGTCAGGTGACTCTCAATTGCTATAGGTGATATGAGGTTTTAGACTAGTTAGGGATTAACCGCCAATCCTTACTTTCCGGAGCAATAATAATACAAAAGGCATAATACAATGATAAAGCACACAGATTTATAGTGGTTACCCCCACTGTAAGCTCTATGTTTAGTCCCTCACCGCAGTTTTTCTCTTTTATACTATAATAATGGATAAGAACATAAGTTTTTTTCCTCGTATCTTTCTTGCATATGCAAACAACCCTTCCTGTAAATCCTTTATATATGTAGGAATCTTTGGGGTGACCTAATACATATATGAATACCCAATATATTGGTGAACCCAAAATATACCAAAAAGATTCACCGGTAAAGTGTTCAATATGATTAGGTCGATCAGTAGTCGAAGGGACTAGTGTATGATATTATTAGGCTCCACATACTCCAACAAGTTTTTACATTGACAAAACTAATTTTTTCAGAAAATGCAGCTCTTTTGGCAAGTCCCCAGACTATCCTAGTAAATTGTCCACTGATACTTGTTTCTGGTTATGAATATATCTCTTCTTTGTTACTAATTGGTGTATAACAGCAAGATGTCTTATCTACAGGGAATCAACAAAGTAACATAACCTCTGCCACCTGGAATTTTGTCAGAAATGTGTCTAAAGGTACGTGACGCGGACAAGTAATAAACATAAGCTTGCTTGTACTAGATTCTTACACACTTAACATTCTTATCTAGATGTTGATTCCACCCCACGGGTTCTATTGACTCATATCCCTCTGTATCGCCCGGATTCCACATCATGTGGCCCACATCGTTCTTCACCTATCATCAATCAGGTACTTGTCATTATTCTTCCACGTGCCTTTATTTCTGATTGAAGTTGCGAATCATGTTCTTCCTTTTACTTTAGAAGTTGTATTGTTTATTTCTATACCATGTAATCACGTGAAATGTGCATGCATCTTATCTGCTTGTTTGGTTCAGAGGATTTCCCGCTCTGCTCATGATCAAGATATACTGTAAGCTTCTTTTTCTTTTTATGGCATGTTTGGTTGGAAGGATTGGATAACACTGAACGGAATTAAAAATGAAAAACAAGTTCAAATCTTGTTCAGTATATTGTCCAATGTCCAATCATATCCAGTGATCCTTACCAAACATGACCTTACTATACTGGTCTTGTTTGTAATTCATTTAACTTTATACTTGTACACTTTGACAGAGAACTTGTTGGTAATTCTCTGGTGCAGGTACCAAAATTACGTCACAGAAAAATCTACAGATGAATTACTGGACCTCATCAGACCTGTATGCATTCTCTTCATTTCACAATGAATGCTGGAGACTAGAATGAATGGAATGAAGCAGTGCACAATGATGAACTAATTTGTGTTTATGCAGGTGCTAGTCTTATCTGGTCATGATCATGATCAATGTACAATTACCCACATGTCTAAGTATGGTGCAGTGAGTGAGGTAAGCTCGTTATGACATTTTTAGGTATGCTGGATTGGATAATACTACATATGACTAGGAAGGATAGAAAGGGTACTTTAAATATTGTCTATTGTCCTGTGTAAGGGATTACTTTCTAATCCCAATCCCGATAGCAATAATAAAGGAAAGGGAAACAAAAACACAAATTTAATAATGGTTTACCCTCAATCTGATAAATACTTTCACTTGCCGCTGTAGATTTCTCTATAATTTAGAAAGAGATTACAAGGTTTTCCTCATGCCTCTATCTTATCTCTCTAAAAATGCACCCCCTCCCCCAAGAAAAACTTTTATGTGCCGTGTTGTCCAGTATTGTGTATCGAACGTGTCTGTAGTTTTTATCCTTGTATGGTTGTTATTGATTGAACTGCAGTAGATTGATGGATACATGCAGCATACTGTAGGAACTGTAAGCTGGCAGCAAGGGAATTTGTATCCTTCTTTCATGCTGTTATCTGCCATTAATTTCACCTTACCAGATGGATCCAGTGCAGAAGATACCATATCCACTCATCTGTGCTTTCTTCCTGTGCAATTGTTCATCTACATATGGTAAATATACATGCTAGAAGATAAACGGGGTCATCAAACATTTAATTTCGCTGAGCTTTTATTATGAAATTCCGTTTGCTAAACGTATCAGGTACTTATCTCTATTTGCAATGACGCTTATTATCCTTCTTTGGCCTGCAAATGAAGTGTTCATTTTCCGGAAGTTTGGTGAATTGACTGGGTATATCAGAAGTCTAATTAACTTTAGCAGCTTTAGAAATGGCATGAAAGAAAAAAACGAAGATGAGAATTGTGAGTATGAGACGATTTGGGATGCAGAAGGAAATATGCACCTTATTAGAAAAGCCTCTCAAGCCCCAAAAACATATTCAGACGAGAGGATCTTGACCGAACGGTAGGTAAACCCTATTGTGCAATCAACTCTGAATTCATTTTTGCTTGGAAATGCTTGCGTGTATTGCTTGGTTTCTCTATTTCGAACTTTCTTTTTTATGATGGATGTAAAATTGATCGTCCACTACTTTCCATCACTTCCGTCCGCACATCAACATTTATTTAGGTGAACAAATACTCTGATTGTCATTTTTTCTCAACACTCGAATAGACTGAGGATCTGTTAGGGTCTCTAGAGTTGCATGCTGCATATTTTTTGTCCTGGGTTCTATTGTTTGATAGAGTTTTAGCAATAAATATATATTATCTGACTGCAATTTAGTGTGGGGTGGGGTCTCTTTTACAAAATTACATTATTTAGTATTTGAGTTACATTGGAGACGTATAATTTCTTCTTTCATTTGTTTCTAGTGCAACATTTATCATAACTTGTCGACCTCAAAAAATGCGCCAACAGAATCTTGGCCACCTCCACTCTACGCAGTGGCGGACCCAAGAAATGAACTCAGCTAGGGTGGTCGACGATTGTCAATCGTCAACAGCCGCAATAACGAGATCATTTACGAAATACAAGATAGAGAGAGAAAGGGATGACTACAAGAAGAATAATATAACAAATTATCACCCGAATTACAGTACTAAATCTATAAATCACAAATCACCAATACGATACAATTTTACTCAGTAAATGTACTGCATTCTACTGGGCCTTATATCCTAATTCCCAAATCACAAATCAAAACTCATAAATGATAAATTAAAATTCATAATTCAATGATAGTGCAACATAAATTATTTATCCCAAATTCACAAATCACAATTCTCATTTCAATGCCAAATTGCCAATTAACTCATAGAACAGAAATCATGATTCTTAAGTAAGGATAATCACATCTCATAAATAAAAAATAACACTAAAGCCAACAAAAAAAAATAAAAAATAGAGAAACTGAGAAAACTCACGGGCTCCCTCACGGTCATGGCAGCAGCTGACAGTCCCGACCTTTGGGCTTCCGACAATTGAATCGTCCGACACCAACACGGCTAGACTGGTCACTGCCCACTGGTGGAGGCGTCACCAGGAGGCGACTGAGGCGGGTGTCGGTGGAAACTAGGAAGTGGAAGTGTGGAACAGTGTAAATTGTAAAATGGAAATTGAGTGAAATTAACGGACTTGGATGGCTGGACTATATATAAATTGATTCGGGCCTGATTAATTGAAAAGCAGAGGCTTCAGCCCAACCAAATGGGGAAGGCCCAATTAAAAAAAAAAAAAACAAGAGAAGCCAAACCCTCCCCTGAGTCGCGCCGGTCTCCTTCTTCCTCATGGGTTGCACTGTTCTGGTGGAGCCCAGCACGCGAGGCCGCCCCCCCTTGCCTGGTGCTGGGTCTGTCGCTGCCTCCACATAGACATCACCTGCGCACTGGAACACTCTGTTAAGAGGCAAATGTCACTGGTCAAGAAAAATGTCTGACGACCGTTCGCACTCGACGCTAAAGTCAAAAGCTAGATGAAAGAAAAATGAGTATAAGAGATGGGAAAAAGGATTTGGCTAGGGTTCAAAAACATACCTTAGTTCTTGGTTGTGAATGGAATGACATATATATAGAAAAATGTGGCCGAGCCCAAGTCTAAAATGCGGTGCTTAATTTAATAGGTCCAATTCAATTAAATAATAAATGTCGAGTCGGCAAATGTAGAACCCCTCTCGTCATGCATATGCCTCCAATTTATAGATGTAACATAACTGATTCCTAAGAAATGAAAAAAATTGTCAACACAACAAAATAGCCTCCAATAGAAGGGGTTGGGGGAATAGAAAAAGGGAGAAAAATATTATGTTTCTTCATATTTCTCGAATTTGTCGTCGTTTTGTGAGCCTGCATCAAAGTGGTTGTAACAATTTTGTGTAGTGCACGAATCTGTCTTTTACATTATTGTGATTTTTTCCCCATTTTATAGTTTTTCACTTAACCCTTTATCATTTTGTACTTGTTATTCTTCTTTACTCCTACGAGCAGTGGCAGAGCCAGTATCTGGCAAGCCATGGCAGTCGTCAAGCGACCGCCCTAGCTCAGATGAATTCTTGTATCCACCACTGTCTACGAGAATGTTTGGCTAAGATGATACACGGTCATTCTTATCGTTTGCAGGGGCAATGCAGTGATGCGATCAAAAGCTAGGAAACAGATAGCGCAAGAATTGGATCCATCGACTCCTTCAGACGTGAATATACACGTGGGGATCGATAATTTGGTGAAATTACCGACTAGAACAACCAAATTAACTGCAAAAATGGTGGTCTGGAGATTACTGCGGGCTTTCCAAGCAATTACGATCATTGCTGCTGTTAATGTCCCTCTCTACGTGTTGCTGCTTTTTAAAGACTGGATCGACAAATGATATTTTACTAAGTTGGTTTCAAACCATTGATCCATAGTATACATTTCTGGTTAAGTATAGGAGTTTGGTTTAATATGGAGGAAAATGAGTCATCTTCACCGACTAGCTAAAGAAGGGGGCTGCATTGTGCAATATTTGGGAACGTGTTGCTATAGGATTTCTTCACAAGAACGATTTTGAATATATGAGGTCTTAATTGCTTGTCAAATAGAAGATACATTTCCATTAAGATTTGTGTTGCCTGGAATTTGGTCTCAACCAGTTGTATTCCTTATCGTTTTTATGGGAAAACGACGGCTGGGTTCTCAACTTTTCGTCAAATGTGGAACTTGAATCTCAATTTAATCTTTTGAGGCCTGTAGTCCCCGACTTTTGAGAAACTAGGAACATAATTTACTTACTAGATAGTTGTGTCGAGGTGACCGTGTCTAGCCTCAAGCTTATATGTCTAATTCACAACTCGTCTCAACTCACTTTCAAATATGGGGTAATGAAATTGCTCGAGCTGAGTTGTCCTAGGTGATTTCTTCCTCGGCAAAACTTTTTCTCCAATTCCAACTCATAAAAAGAATTGAAAATTCTTCTCTTTTCTTTAATTGATATCATAACTAGTACAATTACTTTTTTACACTTACAAATTATCTAATTTGAAAATAATAATAATAATAATAATAATAATAATAATAATAATAGTGAAAATGTAAATTAGCTTGGAAATCTTGAATAAGTTGTTGACCTAAAAAAATGTGCCAACGGGATTCTGACCACACCCCTCCACATGGACATCACATGCACACTGAACATTTCGTTAAAAGATAAATGCAGCTGGTCGAGAAAAGGGTCCGACGACCATTTGCACTCAACGGTCAAGTCAATAGCTGGACGAGAAATATATGAGTGCAAGAGATGAGAGAGGGGTTTGCTTGAGGTTTTAAAACATACATTTTATGTGAAATGAACCTACATATATAATTATATATAGAGAGAGAATTGGAAATGGGCCGAGTGGGTTTAGTGAGATGGGCCAAGCTCCAAACCCAATATGATGTTGCTTAATTAAATAGGCCAATCCAATCCCAAGATACTATTATTTAATTAAAGAAATCCAATCAATTGAATAGTCGATACCATGTCGCATATATGGGACCCCCTCCATCATGTGTATGCCACGTAATTTATAGATGTAACAATAGTCCTCAAGTTTTGAGTCATCTATTCATGTGCAAGTCAGACTTTGAAATACAAGCTGTCAAGTAAGCGAGGTTTTACAGATTACCTCAAAAATATGAGCAGCTCCAATAAATGAGGGCTTACGATCTGCCTAAAAAATATGGATCGATACGAAATAGGCGACGACTTACGTATTGCCTCAAAAATACTACGTGATCAAACTACTTAACATGGTGAGGACTTACGTATTGACACGGAGCATTTGCAATGACAATGTAAAATTGGGTATAAATTAATATTTTCAAAATCCTTTTGCATCCTCATTTACATTTTCAAATTTTGTTCCGATAAAAAAAACTAAATTCATTTTACTTCTTGTGGATGTAAAAAAATATGTAAATTTATACTCTCTCTTTTTTTTTTTCATTTCTTGTCGAAAAATACAATTTACATTTTCTTTGCATCTCTTCATTGGAGAGATTTTCTATCACTTTGAAGATCTAACTACTCCAGGCAATACGTGAGTCCTCGCCTATTTCGTATCGATGCATATTTTTGCCTTCGTATCAATACTACGTGATCAAACTACTCAACTACCAAAAAGAACATAAATGTGGTAGCCAAATTTACTCGAAGAATTCGGTTCTCAGTAAACTCAGAGAAATATGTTTAGAATAATGCTATATGTATATCATTCCTTATCACTTGGACGGCATTCCCTCCTACGTGGAGGAAATTTGTGTAGCGATGTGATGGATGAGTTTAAATCAAGAGTGTAAATATTGGCATGTGGAAAAGTGTAAAGGAAGGAGTAAGAAAGAGGGGTGCAACCATCACCCTTTTATTTTGGTACATCACACAAATACGAAGTAAATATCATAACATTATTGGAATACAATACGTGCTGATTAAGATACCTTTACACTGTATATAAGGTTAACTCTTTGCCACCAGTTTAGCTCAATCACTTCAGTTCCATCTTCGATCCCCCATTTTAGCCAATCCGCAAGCTTCCACCATAGCCCGATTTGTTAAAAAAGCTTCAGCTAGCAGCTAAAAAATGTTCTCTCCTGAAAAAAAAAACCCTAATGGCAATTCACCAGCAAGGTTCAAAAACTGCTGCTGGCAACTGCAGAAGAGATCAATATTTCGACTGCCAAAAAGAAACCCTGTTTAAAGACAAACCGGACCAATCGAGCAACTTCAATAGCTGTTTTCTGGTAGTGAGATCTTGTTTTCAAGAAGGTACAATAGAAAGAAAAAGAAAATAGGGATATAGATATAATTATGGTGTTTGTATATATAGGTGGTTTTAGGGTTTAATCATCATCTTGAATGTAGGAGCAGAGAAGCATGGTGGCACAGCGACGGAGAATGTAAATCCGGGCTCGTTGTTCTTTAACAAGAGAAGCACATTTTCTTGTAAATCCATTGCTTTTTCTCTTTGAAGGAGTGTAGATTCGAGTACTCTTGTATTGTTGCTTCATCTCAGCCATTGCTGAATGATCTTGATGTCTCAGAAATGGTTTACAGTTAAGATTATTCAACTTGAAGAGAAAAAAAGCCCACCGAATTGAGCTAGACCCTTGAGGAAGACAAGACATGGGGTACCATATATATAGACACCCGGCCACATGTATAAAACTAAATAAAATTAAAAAACAAGTATTCTTTCTTTAAATTTTTAGGTGATATGATTTTAGATGACAGTGAAGCAAATAAATGCCTTGGAAGTCATCACTCAACTAAAAGTTGAAAAATAATAAGCTTAAAAGAGTTTTAAATGGAGTGATTTAAGATGATACAGTTTAATGATAACTAATATACAAGGGTTTGAGTTACTCATCAATTGACCTTTTGAAATGGAAGTATTAGAATCCACTGAGTTCAAACAAACGAATATTTGAATATGCTTTTGATATGGTTAATTTTTTAAGATAGAATCTTAAATCTTAATAATCAGAATGCATTAGTGTCTTGTGTTAAAGTCACGCCACTAGTCATTTAAAGACTAAAATATGACGTATGATTGAAAAAATAAATCCCATTTATATGTAAGAGGACATGTATTATTAAAAAATAGAAAAAGTTACGAGTCTACATACAAAATTATTTTAATGAAATAACATGTGATTAAAAATTGAGGAAAAATGAGTTTTGAAAAATAGGTTCAAAACTTATTAGACAAAATCGTTAAAAAATATTAAAACTGACTAGGTTTTAAAGAAGGGGGATGAACAATGAACGTGGTCAGGTTCGAAAACTGAGGGATCTGCATGGGAAAAAGTAGAATGGCAGCAATTTTTTTGTAAGAAGAAAGAGGGCATGGATTTATTTTGAATATATATTTGACAGCATAGTGAATTGGGATTGAAGGGATTATTGTCTGAGGTGTAACGTATACGGGTTTTGCAAGTAGATTATAAAGAAAATTAAATGAGGCGTAATATGAGGAATGTTGCTTAATGAAGACAACGCAAAATAAGTGAAAAAGGAAGAAGTTGTCGGCCGGCCAAATAGAAATTGCTTCCGTTCTGGCTCGGAATGCCCAGCACCTCTGTCTACTACTAGGTTAAGCATGTTTGCTAAGCTTAACAAACGTTAAAGTTACTTATAAGTAATAATTTATATTTGTTTTCGTATTGAAGCAATATTTTTTTTGAATAGCTCTTTACTTTATTGTCACAATAATTAACTTATCTTCAATTTTAATCAATAAATAATTTAATTACTTGTAAATAATAATTTTAAGCTAAGCAAAATATGCTTTTAAAAAATATATAAGTTATTTCTAAGTAACTATTTATTTTATGTTACTTCGACTTCCTCGCAATTTTTGAATAAGCAATTCCTTTTCTTAATTTATTTATATATGTGTGAGCGCGCAAAAGTCTGCTATATATTTGTGTACACATAACTTGAAAAATAATCTCCCTCGATAATCATAGACGTAATCTTTTATTTTGTTTTTTAGCTTAGCATACATTGAACCTCTCAGATCAAGAAGATCTATTGATTAAGCCACTCGAATGATCCAAATTCAGTCATGTGAAAATTTAGACTATGATATCTTGATTGATTTTTAATTAAATTACGTTTAACTTTAATTTATTCTTCAGACAACCTCAATCTCAATAGATTTAGTTGTTCAACTCTGAAACTAATCAATCACTATCAGAATCTACATTGGCTGTAACCTAATCTTCGTTATGTATACATAATATATGGGATTTTTCTTTTTTATATTAATTTTTCTTTTGCTTATTGAATAAGTATGTGGACAATATTGTTTTAAGGTTTTTGTCGATTAGTAACATAAGATTGCTGACTAATACAAGTCATGTTTGGCTAAGCTTAAAAGTTGGGATTATGCATGAACATAAACAAAGTAATTACAATCCATATAATATACAATGGATGGAGTGAAAATACTGAAAAGCTTTGAAGCACCACTCCTTCCTTGAAAGTTCCAACTTAATTGAAAGAGAGATAAGATAGGTTCTAGTTGAAATTAATATAAAAAGAATCCTTAACGACTTAAATTTTGAGATAAGATAATTATCGTCATATTAGAATCTACCATAACATAAGGTTTCAAGTCCCGTTACTATGAAAACTTAATTCTTCTCCGAAAAGAACATTTTGAGTAATAATATCCAATAATACTTACAGCCCGTTTGGGAGCCATTAATTCCATATTTTAATGAAAAATATAAGCGTTGCAACAGTAAGGTGAACAGTGATATAGCCACAATATTTGAAAATTGAATAGCAACCGTCTTTTTTTAGTTTGAAATGTCAAAATTGTCCAATTTGTGAAAATTGCGTCC